GTGAGGGGTGGATCTGACTGAGAAGCAGAGGAATCTATCGGCAGACGGCCCGTCACTCAGAGTAGCCTGCCCTTAACTATGTGTAACTTCAGTCCTAATAAAGGGTAAACAGGTGAGTTATAAAAAAAAAACAACCTTTTTTTGCACCAGTCTGTAAACATGTTTATTTCGGCTGTTTAACATGGGTGTCTGTGGGGATTGACTGGCGTCTGGAGCCGTTCAAAGAAGTGCAGTTTTTGGCACTTCTGGGTTGGCTTCCTTTTTCAGCCCCAGAGGTTGCTGCTTGGCCAAAACAAGAAATCATAAAATATGTTTGTGGTAAATATTTAAAGATCAAGGTCCACTTATTTTGCTACTCATACAGCTTTTGACCATATCTCGCGGTCCTCTGCAGAGAGTGGAACATGCTCAGTTGTCATCAAATTAACTAAGTACTGGACTTCCATCATGCGACAAGTGAATAAATAGCTCTAATGTAATTTAGATGGAGAATGACACTCCACACACACACTCACACACAAATGTTAAAAGAAGTATTCCAATGCTGGAAATATGGTCTTTTCATGTAACTGGACTGTCTATGCAGAAGAGAACTTTTGAAATTGGTGCTACATGACCAGAGAAAACAGAGAAAAAGGGCCTTGGTTTTCGCTCAGGAGGTAGAAAACCTACAACGACCAGAATGCACTGTGCTGCACCGGACACAGAAATGCTTCCACTGGTGGGTGACAGTAATGCGAGCTTGTCCATTATGACAGAGGAAATAATATGGTGGCTGGCTGGTAACAAATGATCTCATATTACAGTTCAACAGCGAGCTAAGATATGTTTCTGTCACTTGTCACTTGTCATATAAAAACCTCTATGGCAAAACAAGCTTTTTCCAATGATTCTTGAAATATTTAAAACAAAACAAAATATTTAAAATCTCATTACTAATTTATAAAAGCTGCGATACAGAGGGAACTCTCACGTCATTCGAGCATTTTAAAGATACCTACAAAACTTTTTCATAAGTACCTCTTTTTGAATACTCCTGATGATCAAATGTCCCTGCCAGACTTTTTCAGTCTTAAATAGCTGCTTCATAATAACAAGCATCCATACAAATTCATAACTAACAGTTTATTCACTTTTACTGCAGAAGTGCCCCAAGCCAAACATACATAAAAAATAAAGGTGGGACTAAGATATGAACATGACCATTAAACCTTGTGGGAAGATTTGTGTCAAGTTTGAATGACCATCAATTCAAGATTCAGAATTATTTACTATCATTTTCTGCACCAGCTTGATCTCACTCATCAGAAGCTGCATAAATACCACAGTGCAATATCTGAAATGTATTTTAGATGTGGCACAACAGAAGGTACTTTTTTTCACGTGCTACATGGCTATGTGTGAAAATACAACACTTTAAAAAGAAAAAAAAAAGACCTGTGTGATGCCATGTCCTCCATTACAGGAGCCTCCTTTCCATTAGAGCCTGAGTTATATTTACATGGTAACCTTACTGGTCTAAATCTCAGGAGCAACACTGTTTTTAAATTCATCAAGACTGCACATGCTGTTGTAAGTAAATGTTTAGCTCTAGCATGGAAATCAGATTTGCCCTTTCTCCTTGTCAAAATGAATCAATGTATAACACATTATGTTATGTTAAGAAAGGCAGTTATGATCACTTCATCAATATATGGCAACCCAATATTGATTATATGGACTCTCTCAGTCTGCATTTATTGACCCGGACGTGACGTAGACTCACCATTGTAACTGTAATAGTGTGTCCCGTGGGTATTCACCTATGTAATGTCTGTCATGTAACATTTTATCATGTCTTATTTTGTTTGATTTATCTGACCTTGTTGAAATTGTTAGCAAGGTGAATCTGTGATAGGGAAGGGAGGAGGGGAAAACTGTCTCGCTCATTTATTGTTATTCTGTTGCATACATTTAAAAAAATAAAAGGAAATTATTAAAAAGATGTTTCTGAAAATATTTGTGGCAAATAATAGGTAATGCAGAAACAGAATCTTGGTTCATATTTTATCAGCTTAGTTTTACCATTTTACCTTTTTTTTTTCAGCCTCTGTTTTTACAATACAGGAAACAGTATGGTGCCCACTTCCTGTTCACAAATGCATGTATTACAGCAGTGGACTAAAATGTGTTTTTGAAGACATTTTAGGTAAGAAATAGGCAATACAGTAACAGAATCTTGGCTCATATTTGATCAGCACTGCCTGGTTTTACAGTTTGAGCTGAGTTTGAGACAGAGAGCTTTTTCTATCAATGACACTAGATAATATATTTCATGTGAACCGGTGTCTGGCCAAGTACAGTCTTTAAAACGTTATTACTTATCATAAAAGTTATGAATGAACACAATAAAGCAGCACGATATAGATTTTAAGGTATTTAAGTAATCACAGATCAACTTATATTTGGGTCACTTGGGGTCAAAAGCTTTCATCTGAACAGACTTTCGTACCTTTAGTCCCTCAAAGCTCTACAGAGTAGTGTGTTCTCATATGTATATGTGGTAAACTTAAAAGCAGGGGCAGCAGCATAAATCCACACTCACCACTTAAGGCAAGTGTGGGCAGGGCAGCGACTGTCTCTTAGTGGAGGCACTCTAATGATTTTACTCATCTCGAGGAGAACTACTCAGCCTGTGACAAGGGTTGTATAATATCATCTGTAGCTCTTAATGGAAATTTGTTAAGTCTGAGAGATTAACCCTGATGATGTCATCTGGGTTATCTCTGGTTGGGCTAGAAGGACTGCAGATTTATAACAAAAAGCTTGCACTAGAAACTGGGGGTGTGGACTTGTTTACCAGGAAAGGAAAGTCAAATGAGAGAAGCTTTTGAGTTGCATTATGGGAAGTGTAGGATCCAGCATGTTTTGGATTTTACCCACACACAAAAAATAAAGGTCAGGATATCCCAGCCTAGTAGCAGACTCGGGCCTCCTGAGGGGCAGGGACAAAAAACATAAAAAGGGCATCAGCTGGATGTGGTGGGGCACCAACGAATAGAAAGTTTTCTAGCATGTAAGCAGTCTATATGGCACTGCATCATGTTTTATTTACCTTAGGGGCATCCCAAAGTTTACTTTAACTGCAATTTTTTTTTTTTCAATCATGGAGCACCAAGGGGGGCAGTGTTCCCCAGGAGTCCACCAGTTTTTTAGCCAGCAATGATCTGACCATTGTTTTTATAATCTGTCTCCCAGTGTATGGACGTATACTGCTTTAATGCTTTAACATGAGCAAGAATATGCCTCCCTATCATTATACAAAAAGACAGCAGCAAGAAGAGAGAGGGTCTGGAGGAAAAATAAGAGAAACCTGTGGAGTTTCTGGTAAATTTAAAAATCAGTTGGAGCTGTCACACACACACACACACACACACACACACACACACACAGAAACAAAGTTGGTATACATCAGTCGAAGAACTCGTCCGTTTTCTGTTTGTGGCTAACAGTCTGAGTCAAAATTGAGAGAAAAGAGACATGAATATCTGCTTTCTTTATTGAATCTGAACAGAGGCCCGTGGGACAGAGCGGTATCTTGGAGCGAGAGAGAACACAGATGCTCTGACTTTCAAAAAAGCCGCTTCACACTCCAGGCAAAATCATGCCACTCCGCTCCCACTCTGCACAGCTCGCATACCCTGGTGCCTGCAGCCCCCATCCAGTCCACTGCATGTTAGGCTCTAAACAAACACACACAACCGCACAAACACAAAGTACACCTGTGCATCTGTTATATTAACTGCTGTTAACTTGCACCTGTGTGTGCAATCATGTTCGACAAAATCATTAGAATGTGTCTTTAAGCACAAAATCTGATCCTAAATGTTAACATGATAGTGCTACAGCCAAATTACAAAAGACTGGATTGGAACCTCTTATCACCCCTGAACTCACGGACAAGTGTCAGAATAACGCCCCAGAAAACATCTGCAAATATGTTAACATTGTCATTGTTAGAATCAGCAATACTTGTCAAAACAAGAGTAAAACAGGCTGAAGAAGATGAAAATGGTAAGACAGAGGAGTGGGTCTCATCTATACAGTAGCAAATGACCAAGGATCGCCTGTAACTATGTGTGATTATGTGCATCTGCTTGTGTTCATGCTTGTACTTGTGTGTGAGTGTGTTCTGCCCTGATATGTGGCTCAGAAGCAGCCATGTAGTAATGCCACTTAACTTTAGGACATCAAAGAGACAAGCCCCCTGAGGGGACAAGACAGACGGTCAAGGAGATGGAGCTTTGATGAGTATGTGAGGCTATCTTTCATTATTAATAATATCCCACTGTACTGACAAGACAGTATGACCACTGTAATAGAATTTAGTATATTCTGGGCTAAAAACAATCACTGTGTCTGACAATATTCATGTTAAACTGATTTAGTGAAAATGACTGATTTGCATCGATGAATGTCAAAAAATAAAGCAGTTATTTTCGATGCACTGCATGTTGCCAAAAACTCGTGACCTACAAACTGCAATTCTTTAATTAATAAAGGTGCATCAATATGCATTTTAAAGCCTTGGATGAAGACTGCGAATATACCAAAAATTGTGCCTCTTGTTGTGCACAAACAGGGGAAGCCATTTAGGGCTGTTTTTTTTTCTGTTTTAGTGCTGTGCAGTCTTGAAATAAGGACAGACTCTCTGTACTCTGTAGCTATCTCTGACTGCTCTATGGAGGACAAATATAGTGCCCGTTGCCATGGTTATGACAGAGAACACATCCACACAAACAGAGCAGTGAGACCACGAGGATACACACCTACACAGCTCTCTCTTCTTTCAATCCACAAACACCACGTGTAGATGAGGAGGAACTATGTGTGTGTGCGTGTGTCACATGTTTGGGGTCGATTATGTGTGTACGCACGTAGGGAATTCTCATGTCTGTCGTGTGTGTGCATGATGAGCACCTGTGGATTTTTTTTTTTCTACAAGTTGAACGCAGACTCACCGTCACAGTGGGGATGGCGGTGACAAGGGAGTAGACGAGGACGGGCGGCGCCTTGCTGTTGTCCTCTGGTCCCGGGTACGGCTTGGAGTAGGCTTTGTCGAAACAGAAGAAGCCCTGGATGTGCACGGGGAACGTGTCCGTGTACTCAAAGTAGTACGCCAACAGAACGGTCCCTGCCATGATGACCAGCTGGAAATAAAACATATTGGTTCCAGCTTTAGGATTGGATCCACGGAGAGAGAGTAGGAGTTGGGAAAAAGAAAAAGACAGCCGGAAAAGAGAGAAGTGGAAAATACAGTCACGGATAGAAAAAAGGAGAGTTTTTCCTTCACAGAGCAATATGATGGATGCTTCCGTAATGTGTAAAATGAATCAAGTGTGCGTGGAGAGATAGTGAGGGATGAGGATGAGAGGGAGAGGGAGGGAGGTAGAGATAGAGACAGAGGGAGACAAATAAGGAGAAAGACAGATAGGGGGGGGAGAGAGCTGACAGAGAGTGAGAGAGAGATCCCTTCAGCGGTGTCAGGATGCAGAGTGGGAGGGTAAAGAAACAAATGGAGACCGATCAAAGAAAATAACGCTGTATGGAAGGAAGAGAGGAAGAAATGAACAAGGATGGGAGGGAGCGAGGTGGGAGGGGGGCTGTGAGACACAGATGGGGTGAAAAAGAGCAGAGTGGTGGAGAAGACAAGAGGAGGCAAGAGGAGAGAGAGAAAAAAGTGACCCTGGGAAAAGCAGAGGGTAGAATTATATATGCGTGACACTCTGCATAACTGAAGTTGTTGTAGTACCACACATTTAAAATAGCAGCTGTATGCAAAGCACAAGCCATGAAGCATAAAATATGACCTTCATAACTGTATCTAAAATATATATTAGCAATTCATAACAGATTGGATGTGAGAGAAAGAGGCAGAGAGGGGATGATGAAAATAGAAAACATTAAAAAAAAAACCCATGCAATTCTGCACAGATGAGACAGATGCACAAGTACTAATTATTCATTTATACTCTAGTAAACCGCACTCTAACTCCTCTGCCCAGTTCCCTACAGGAAAAAGAAAACATTTACAACTGCATAGTAGGCTTGTCTAACCGAAGGTTTGTGCAATATTTGTTTGCCCTGCGGGAATTGGCTTGAAACAAAGACTACAAGTTAAAAAAAGGAATGCCAGTTTAAATATAGCGCACTGCTGATTAGTTTCATCATAATCTGCAGCCTGAATGTTTGCGAGATGAACTTCTATTGTATGTGAAGGATGAATTTATCAGCACCAAAACATGAGGAGCCTCTGCTGGCAGGCTGAGCCAGTTTGAGGCACACAAGGCAAGAAAGAAACAGCAGTTTGGCAGCTGCTCTGTTACCTTAAAGGGGTGACAATATATTTAGCATGTGAAGGTTAATGATATGGTAGCATTGTAAATTAGCAGATTAATAATAGTTATTATTTACGAAACAAGAAAAGATATGTTGAAGCCAGACCTCAAGGAAGGAGGTGGGCTGAATAAACCCTTTTCACAGCAGATGTTTTGACTTGTCTATCAAAGGTGAAACTAATGACATTATTAATTGGTGCATTGCACTGAAGTAATTACTGGAAAGGAGACATCATTTCTGTTATTAGTTCCACCTGCGTTCTTCCTGCTATGACAGGTCAAAATGTCTGCTGTTAAAATGACGTCTGTGAGTGGATTCATTTGGGAATGACAAGGGAACACGAGCGGTCTCAAGACTCAAGTTAGCAAAATGTAGTCAGAAAGCAAAAGCATGCGTGAAGTCCACGATGCACAATGTTTTCATGAGGAGGAGAGGATAAACAGGTGATGCTCATCAGCCAAATACAAAATACAAAAAAGCCCATTCACTGTCAGTATAGTGGGAGAGTTTTTTTTTTTTTTGTTTTGTTTTGTCTTTTGTGTATAAAAAGTTTGGATAAAGATCGACTTCATTTGCACAATAGAATCTGAGAAACAAGTAGTTCCTGCAGTTCTTAATAATGTTATTTTAGTGATGCTGAAATAGTGCAGCCGATAGGAATAAAGAGGGTGTTTCCACCCAGCTCGCTCGGAGAAGGGGAAGCAACATAACCAAGTCAGAATTGGTAAAACAAAGTTTTTTAATGACAAGGACATTAGGTTTTCTGAAATACAGACAGGCAAACTACGAATAAGTAATGTAAAACAGGGCATAAAACCTCAGAGCCTACTGAAAAACTAAAAACAGAAGAAACATCATCCCTGCACCTAGTGTTTCTAAACATACACTCCTGAGTGTGTGCAATCAGGAGTAAAGAGTCAAATCTTTACCTGGCCAAGTCTGCAGACAATCGACAAGTGCCTCAGTTCTAAATCACGAAGCCTCAAACGTATCTATTTGGCTTAACACAAATGAGAGACACAGCTGCAAACTGTTAAAAAAAAATCCCAGCAGCTCCAATTGATCTGTGCGGCTAAAAGTAGCTGGTCCCCCAAACTGTACCTCCGTGACTGGAGGCCTGAACTGGGACCCGCTCTGATCAAGATTCCTTGGAAACCAGGAAGTAGGGTACCGTTACGCGAGTGAATATAACATTGCCAAATATTCGTCTCCCATTCATTTCCATTCAATGCAAGCGACAAGTCAAATAAAACATTTGCTTCAGGTGGCGAAGAAAACTTTTGCATTGCATGGAATTCAACTTAGGTGAACTTTGACCGGTGAAGTTGCAGCCTCAACCAGCAGCAAAGGAGTACATGGGAGGAGAAGGTGTTTGTTGCTGTGTGTAATCAGCATATATTGAATGGTACTGCACCACATGAGAGACGCTGCCTGGCTTGAAGGGGTCCATGTCATTGGTTCGACAGCCCATTGGTTCGACATCCCATTAGTCCGACTGTCTGCGGTGCTGAACGGCTCGCGGCGGGCATATGGTGCGCCGCGACCGGCTTGAGGTGGAGCAGGCTCATGGCTTATGTGTTTTCACTTTCTATTTCATTTTAACCCACACCATGATCTTTTCCTGACCCTAACCAAGTGGTTTTTGTGCCTAAACCTAACCAGACCTTAACCACAGGGCATCATGATGATTTCGGAACAGACTACGGAACAATGAGTTTAATATGGTCGGAACAATGGGATGTCGAACCAATGGGCTGTCGAACCAATGCGCAGTTCCTGCTTGAAGTGAGTTAGGAGACAAGCATGGAACTAAAGAAAATGAAAATATACCAATAACATCCTATTTCATGGTAGTTATTAGGAAGTAAGCTAAGATTAGCAAGTAAGCTAACTCTCCATGTGTGTCACACTGAGCAATACACACATTCAGCACAAATTTTGCCTCCACAGGCGATGGTCACTCATCTGTACTTGCTCATGTGTGACTGGTCCTTAATGGGAGGGTGCCAGCAGTGGCCGTAACAAGCGGTGTGTTTGGGTTGGTGGATTGCGGCCTTATTATGCCATGAACCTGGTGTTCCGCTCCCATGGCACACCGTGTGATATCTCTTGTGGGTGAAGGCTCAGAGGAATAGCCTTACATTATGTTGAATACATGTCACACAATCCAAAAGTTGATGAGAAAAAATCTAATGCATTATCATGTCTGGGCATTAATTATAAAGCTAGAGCCAGGAGACGATTAGCTTAGATTAGCATAGCATAAAGACTGGAAGCAGGGGGAAACAGCTAGCCTAAATCCACCTACAAGCAACTGTAAAGCTCACTAAAAACACATCATATGTTCTTTGTTCAATGTGTACACAAACTGAAATGTAAAAAAGACAAGTTGTGGTTTAAAGCTGAGTTATGCTGGTTGCCTGGCAACACTCCAGGAAGTCACCTAGCTGGGTGACCTTCTTATCTGATGCTTGACTGGACAGTGGAAAAACATATTCCCCAAAATGTCCAACTATTCCTTTAACTTTCAGCCTTTAACTAAAAACACGCATTTATTTTTTTATTTTAATGCCAAAAACTTTTAAAACTAAATGTCAAAAACTGGCAGCGTATGAAGGCCTACAATTCGTTCACTTGTCATAGTAGAGCAATGGCACTGAACAGGAAAAGCCTCACATCAGCAGATGGCGGAACAAGTGAGAAACCACAGAAAGAACCTCCTCCAACATGTTTATCGTCTTCAGCAAAGTGACAGAGTACCCACTTGGGCTAATGCTATAGGGAGGGGAAAGGGGGAACTTGTTACACATAACACATTTCAGCATTATTGCACACTGAAGAGTGATAATGAACATGGTAGAGGGTGACCTAATTCAAACTCCTTACATTACACGCTCTGCTCCGCTGTCAGATCTGCTTCCCTGCAACTTTCCTTTTCCTGTTTCCTCTACAGTCGCTGAAAATCTGCGGATGATTCCCTTTATGAATTGCAAAATCAAATAATTGATCTGTTCGTTCCCATGGCAATGTGCAAACCTAATCTACTTCAATCTGTTTGTGGCAGACGCCGTGCTGCAGTGTTTGCACCGAGGGTCCCCAGTGAGGAGAGCATCATACTGGGGGGGACGGTGTTTTCTGTGACAACACGCACGCCCCAAGGCTCTTAAAAGCAAAATCATGAGGGACATAAAAACGCGTACAAATGCTCACACATATCAACACATGCTGGCAAACTATACAAACACCTCCACCCTGTAGTTTATATATAAAGTCCAAGAATACCATGCAGCTCCATGTTTCTTCTCCATCTACATGTGCTTTGTGTGTTTGAGTGAGTGGGCGTGTGAGTGTGTGTTCGAATATGTCTGTAGGCATGTGGGTGCATTCCCATGTCTGTGAAGGAACTCTGACACAGGCATGCCATGTTGAACATTTCTCTCCATCATCCGCTCCTCTCTTCTTGCCGAGCTACAGAAGGCTTGAGGGAGGGAGCGAGGGAGGGAGGTGTAGAAAGGTGGGAGGAAGCGAGCGAGGGAGGTCTGTGAGCACCCATCAAAGTTTAAACAAACATTTGAAGACAACTGCAGAAAGCCTCCCTGGGAGATTATGCATGTCGTTTTGCATCTAGTTTTACACTACATAAAATTGGCCGTGCTTATTGAGGATACTGTGTCTAAGGGATCTAACAACCATGTGTGCGGAATAATACATGAGAAGACATGAGTTACATTTGAATACGCTCTATATTCATTCTGGGATGAGATTATCACAGCAGAAATTCTCAGCATGACTAAAATAAAAAAGTCCCAGT